ATAGAATTCTACAGAGAATATTTCCAGTTGCTTTATATAAGCCTCGATAATACTTTATCTCAATGAATTCCTCAGCGGCTGATATCTAAATCTTCACTCCAGTTGAGCTACACTGTGCTGCGGCTTCAAGTGCCCTCAGCAAGGTTTCCCCCCCACAGCTCCCTTGTTTTCGTACTCTGCTCTGAGCAGCCGCTAAGCTACCAAGATGTACAAGATGGAAGGTAAGAACAAGACTACTGCGAGGGCATGCTGCCCAACAGCGCAGGCTTTGATCACCTCTCCGAGTCAAACACACTTAAGTCTCTTTAGGACCCAGCGGGGGTCGACCCCGGTGTATCTCCTCCATCTCACTGCTCACTCTCAGCAGCATAACACTGCTGCTTATATGAACTAACATGGAAGAAAAATAACATGGCTACTATCAAATCTAATTGGAGAAACAATGCCTTGTAGTAGTTTTGCAAGTATGAAGTTACTTGTTAAGATGTGTATTTTATATACTTACTCAGGCTGTTTTAATTCCCTGTCCGCATTTGAACCTACGAAAAGAATAAACTATAATTTGTTTATTACCCACATAATAGTTAGCCATGACAGGTGGGGTCCAATTGGTTTTATCTAACAAAACTTCTGTACTTAAGGAACATAACCTCCGTAGTTTAAAAAAAAAAAAAAAACCTTTTTTAAAACTGAACCCATTATTTTTGTTCACACATTTAGTCAGAAATTACTTATTTTGACGCAAACCACCATCTTTTCCTGAACCTAACCAAGGAGGGGGGGCTGCGATCACTCTATCAAAAATCTATACGAGGTGTTGTATGAGGATATGTTGACTTGATACTCAAACAAATCTTCCACAACTTGTTTTACACTTCGACCTTTATGAATGTATCGAAAAATCTCTTCCTCACAAAAATAATTGTTCTTTTCCCTCCTTCCTCTACATGAAGATCACAGAGCTTGGTCTGTTTTCTACTGAGGCTGTCGTCGAAGTCTTATTTTCCTTGCTAGTCTAACATCAGTAGTGCGATTTTCATTCAGAGTTATTAGAGTGGGCGTTTTTTATAAAGCTCTCGGAGCCTGTAAGTGTAGTAAAGGGATACTCAAATACCCTTGACATTCAAAGAAAACACAGTACAGTGAGGAAAGGTCTTTCAAGAATATAACATACTTCGAAGTTGTTTAACAACAGAAAACCTTTGGTGCTTCTTAGTAACTTCTTATTCCCTTGGTTTCTTTCCATCTCTTTTTCCTTGCCTATAGTTATTTACATCTAGCTGATTTGAAATCCATGCACCAGAATCATAGTCCAAAATAGGTTTATGATATTCTTGATACCACATTTTGTGCTTTTTATTTTATGCCAACAACAAACATCATACAAGATTGTAACATCTGATGCAGTGCACCACATGTTTGAGTGTTTTTTGAATTGAAAGAGCATTTCCCAAACCATTCCCATATAACACTCACCCAGATAAAAAGCATCTATCCGATTACAATGCAAATGTGTGCTCTACGTTGTTGAAGTGAATGCTATCAAATAGGAAAGGAGAGCATTTAAATCATATACAATGTAACTAATGGAGCTATATCTCCTCCGGTGGTGCATCAGTAAGGCTGTTAAGCAGCTTTTCTGTGAATAGCAGCAGTGTTTCATACTGAATCATGCGCTTGTTGGGGTCATTACATTGTAAGTGGCACTGTATTGCACAGTCACTGAATAATAGGTAAGTGGTGTCAAAGGGAGTTCAGATTTAAGATAGCACAATGGGTATTTTCTTATTATCACATCATAAGGCATAAAGTGTTTTTATACAGAGAATAACCGAGAGCTAAACCTCTTCATCTTATAATATTTGTAATATATTAGAATAATGTGTGTGTCAATGCCTGCGGATGCTTTTGTCAGGGTTGGTGTGTCTGCATACCATCGTTGACTGTTGTGCGTGCGTGCGTGCGTGCGTGCGTGCGTGCGTGCGTGCGTGCGTGCGTGCGTGTAATCACCAGGGTTTCTTGTCAGAGAAAGGGCAGGGAGGGTCGCTGAGGTGTCAGAGGGGACAGCAGGGAGCAGACAGAGGTGACACAGGGAGAGGACTCTGGTGACATTTTCGCAGTGGGAGCCGACCATCACAGCGTAATAACCAACAAGGTCCGCTTTTCCTAATGAGAAAAACAAGGAGGAGGATGTGAGCAGGAAAAATAGCCTGACATCCACATGCTCACAGTCAGAGAAACACACCTCAAATATACACACTCTTGTCTTATTCTCTCTGATTCAGATTTCACTCATAATCACAGACTGCTCATAACAAAAGAATCAATGCATTGCTTCTTGAACAGGGTATTAAGACATGACCCACACACAAACACACCTGTGTTTATGCAAGTAAACACACAGACATCAGGCTCAATTTATAAGCCCCCCCCCGGTCAAACAAAGCTCTAATGTAGGATTCTGCGGGTATTGACACACACATGTCCAGAGGCTGCTGTGAGGCAGTGAAGCAGTCTCGGTTTAGACCAAACATTGGCAGTCTGTCTGCATCTCAATAACAGATGTCCCAGGGCTGCAGAGGACTCACAGTCGCTGGTCAGGAATGAATGAGGACTGTTTCTGTGTGTCTGTGTGCATCTTTACATGAATGCATTAGTGTTAGTGTTCATAGTATCATTTAGTATTTAGTTGATGTTATCCTTTTTTTCAGCATTGTGTTGATTATTGACTGTCTACTGTCTGTATCGTGTGTTCAGAATTGGCTTAATTGTAGCATCTCTTGTGCTGCTTTTAACATTGCTTTGTCATTTCCTCACAGGTCAATTGGTAATAAGGTAGTTTCTTGGAACATAATTTTGTAAATGTATGATCTGGTTTAAAATGAATGGTTAAAGATGTTGGTAAATAACTTAAATGCTTTCTTTGAGATAGTTGGATGAGAAAAGTGTGTAGGCTCTTAGCTACTGTAAGCTAATTTAGCAGCTAGCCGTGTTTTCTTCAACGTCCAAAAGTCTGCCTACTAACAGTAACTAAAGTTACTAAATAAGAAGTAAGTCCATACACAAATCTAAATATAAAAAAACATGTATTTGTGAGTTTAATGTTACGATCGTTGTGCTAAGCTAGCTGGGCTAAAAGCACTACAAATACATGTATTAAGCTTCTATTTACATGCAGACTTTTTGCACTACTTTTTATTTTGTACTTTGTATTTTTGTATTTTATTATATATGTTGGATTGATGGAGGAGCTCAGGTCATAAGATTTTCATTTCCGTTTCTACACTGTATCTGTGTGCATATGACAATAACACCTTTGAATCTTAAATCTAATATCTAAAAATGTTATTCCTTTAAAAGTCCCTTACGTTAACTGGAATGTTCTTTGATATAAGTTCACTTTTAAACAGATTTCGACAAAGAAAACACTGTGTTCAAAGTGAAAATGTGAAATGTTTCTTGCCTTGGGACTAGATGTATATCTATCTTTGTTGCTGTTGTTATATCAAATTGCAAATAGAGAGTAGTAGAACTGGCATTAACTGAAATGGAAATGGAAATAAAGCAGATTGCTACTTGGCAGTGAATTGCAGGATGGTTACTTTGTTGGGAAAATTGATAAACAAACAGTTATCGAGCAAAGGTGGTGTGGATGTTGAGGGAGCCGGGGGCTGCAGGGAATAACACACTGTTAGAGGGGTTTCAAGTGCTGTGAACAAAGACAAACAGTGGCATACAACAGGAGCCGCTCAGGACACAGGCCGGAGAAAGGAGCACGGTATTGATCTGTAGAGTTTGAGTTTCTTTGTGAAACAGAATCTGAGGACACAGGCCAGAGCCTTATTTAAAAGTCTCCCTATTCACATCCATATCTATTGATCCATGCACACTTTCATCCAGCTTTAAGTGAGTCTCAGTTGCTTGTTTTTCTTTTCCCTGCATCTCCTCTTCTCATATTTTATTTTCTCATCTTACCATTTTGGCCGTCCATTCTTAAAGCATCCTTTGTTTCGTCTCTGTCACTCTCATATTTATTTCCTTTTCCATCTCCCTCGGCGCCTCTTTAGGTCTTATGTGAACTTTTAGGAGCCCAAATTATTTCCTGATCATGTTTCCATGCAATTCATCTCACAGTCATTTAAAATTGTTTCTTTTATGGGTGTTTATTTCTCTAATGCGTTATCCATAAAAGTCTATCACTCTATCCTCACAATCCCTTATCTCTGACACCAATAAATCGAGCGGATCAACTCAATGTAGCAGAATCACATTTAGCGATGACAAGCGCTTTTTCACACTCAACACGCGCACCCACACACACACACACACACACACACACACACACACACACACACACACACACACACACACACACACACTAAGGATAACAACTTGTTCTGTGTTGGATTTGATTGGATGTGGATGCTGCTGTCTGCCTGCAGGAGTAAAATATGGCTGTCGTTATTGTGTGCTGTCATAACGTGGCCTGTAAATCTCTCCCTGAGTGGAAGAGAGGAGGAGGCAGGAGAGAATTGATTCTCTTGTTGTACTTCATCTTTAGCCTCTCTGCTCTTGGTGCCGAGCCAAAGGCCTTGGACGCCATTTTCATTATGTGCACTTCTTCAGGAGGAGACGATGATAGTGGCCCCACTGTCTGATGTCATTTTAATTACCCTGCACTCACATCTAGCATGCCATAGCTGTCTTTCTTTTCCCTTTTAATTCCTCACTTTATTTCCCCTGCCTTCTGTCTTCACGTTTTTAACCTTCACGGATTCCATTTTACCTTCTTATGTTCGACCTCCATCAATTCACTCCATGCCTCAATCCTCTCCGTCCCCTCCCTCTCCCCCCCCTGTCTGAGTCCTACCCAGCAGCAGCTCTGAGCTCAGACCTCCACCGTTAAGCGGGGTACAACTGATAACGTCAACCATGCTGTCTGTGACTGACAGCTGAGTAAAATGGCTGTGGCAGCACACAGAGGCATGGAGAATCCGTTTTCAGGCTGAACCAGAGTCGGTCCCCGCGCCCATCTGTCAGACGAAAAACAGGAGAGCGGACTATCAGTCACAGCTGACCCGCAGTCAGCCACGCGAGGGACTAGTTGGGAGGGGAAAGGTGGAAAGCAACAGAAATAAGCATGAAGATCAACAGATGGCTCTCTGTCAATCACTGTCTTTCTTTCTTGTTTGATTTAATTTGATCCATCCTCCCACCCTTATTCTTCTCTTATCCTGACAATCCAACATGTTGTTTTATTCCTTGTATCTTCTCCTACCACATGTTATTTCCCTTTCCCTCTTAGCTCCCTTTTCTGCATTTGTCCGCAGGTGGTACAGCACTGAATGTGACATGAGCTCAGTCAGGTTTTCTTCTCCTCTCCCCCACACAGCTTTAAATGCTGTCATTACACTCGCTCCATGCCATTTCTCTCCCACTGTAATTGGAGGTGCTGAGATGGAAAACAGGGTCCTTGATTTTATACTTGGAAGATACTGATAGCCGGTCATGTGCTTGCCGAGGGAAGGTGTGTGGGAAGATTGAAAACTTTAAAAATGTTGCATTACAATGTTGTACCAGAAATGAAACTGAAGAAAGGCAGCTACAGTATGTGATTTGAAATGTTTAGGAAATGACGCAGTGGAACTGTTCATCGACTTTGACGCTCCCTGCCTTGTTTGAGGGAGCAAAAGTGAGGGTATGACACAGGTCTTTTCACAGCCTCTTATTAAAAAGCACAGAAAATAACATCTTGTTAATGATCTGCAAGCTGAACCCCGGAGACACGTCTGAACACTAGAACTGCGGGACATAGAGAGACTATCTTCTCTTTTACGCTTACAGATAAATTCATCTGCGTGTAAAACCATAATATTGCTGGAAAAGTACAAAAAAGCACTTTAAGCGAGGTGAGGAAAAAAAATCTATGTGGCAATTTAATTTAGTGTAGAGTGAACACTTTTACATATTACTGTACAAGATGCAAATGAGATTTCTCCCCTTGAATAATCATCCGTCTAAAAGGCTGAACCTCACTGGGAGGTAATTACACTGCTCTGATCATTAAATAACCCCTGTTCTCGCTCTCTCACACACTTTCTCTCTCACGCTCCCACCTCTCTTCGCAAACCCCCCACACCTTTCTATAATACACACTGAAAAAATATCACACTAGTTTCAACACAGGTATCAGTTTCTCACAAAAACTGTATTCCACATAGACACCAATGGACAGTCAGTGACACATGATTCACACACCTCCAACACACGGACAAATTGAACAGTCTTGGAATCGGCCACCTTTAAATAATGGTTTTTTTTCCCACCATCTTCTCTACCTCGTAGATCTTACCATTGCTAGTAATGACTTGTGGTCAACCAGTGAGAATCAGTAGTAAGTAACATTCTTCTACTATTTAAGCTATACAATGTACTTACAGAAGACACTGTTTAAAATTGTAACCACCTGTAAAAATACTCCATGAAATCATTTCAATACATGACTGTACTTGTAAGTCTATAACATTTTAGGATTTAGTGAGAAATGTCCATCTATTTTCAGTTTTTTGAGTCCAACATCTTGTTTTGTATAACCAAACCACGACACTGCTTAGTTTAACATACTGTATATACAGAGAGAAGTAGGAAATATACATAAAAAAAAGTATTGTACTGTGTCAAAACATCTGTTTAGTGAGAGAACAGGTGAATTCAGAGTGGCAGAAAACTTTATTACGGCTCCCTTTACAACTTGACAGGAAGATTGGATCTGATTCTGATACAGCAAATAGATCAGAGGAACATTGGAAAACAAGGCTTTGTTCATTTGGTTGCTACAGCTGCCTTTGTTTAAATGTCATCAGCGAGGGAACAAAAACTGCTCAAATGTGCAAAATAAGTGCTTGATCTCTTTTAACTTTTAGGTAGTGAAAATGAGGTAAAGAGAGGAGTGGAGCTTCTGAATTCTGACTCTGGACCACAGCAGCTGCATGTCAAATGTCCTGTAAATGGTTGGAATCCCCATTTTGGATGTACTGTTCGGATATCAAGTCAAACCTGAACAGCAACCTTGCTCATTCATGTAAGACGTTGCTATTGCAAAACTCATTATGCTAGTTGTCAGGAGAAGGTCACCACTATGACACAGAGCTCCAAGCTGCCTGGAGAAATTTAGTATGGATCCCCTTCCGCAACATGCAGAGCTCAATTCCAGCTGTCATCGGGCTGGAGGAGGCAGAAATGTATTACCAGCCAGGATAATGTGCTTTATTATTTAGTTTATATGCCAGCTCACGCTGCCTCGGGCCAATGAGAGGAGCAATTACAAGGACAGGGATGTCTATAGTGTGAGTGTGTGCATGCAGGTGCACACACACACACGCACGCACGCACGCACGCACGCACGCACGCACGCACGCACGCACACACACACACACACACACACCACTTACACGTAAAGTACGGATGCCTCTATAGTCAATCACGTAAACAAGAGAAACTACCTTTTTCGGTAGCCCCACAATTTAGTGAATTACGGCCTTAGAAAAAGATTTGGGACTAACTTCGGACCCGAGTGTCAAATTCAGTGTACTCAGTTATCCTTTTTACATACTTTAAGTTGTTCCTTTGTTTAATAATTGGTTATGCTAAGTTTTCATATCGTATCGTATACCACACACAATATGACACATAACCAACCTATTCGCGATACGGTAACATGACGTATGAAGTCACCATCACCACGTACCGGTTCCCTACTATTTGGCAAAATTGTAACTCGCTGAAACTTTAATCGTAATCCTCAATAACGAAACTCTCCGTTTACGACCGTCCACACACACCCACACAACCAAACACACCCACACAACACCACAACACCACACACACACACACANTAGCTGTGTCATTCCTAAGCCTATTTATTAGCTGACTTTTTTATGTTAAAAAGATTTGTTATAGAACAAATGCATGAAAGTATTAAAAGCCAGTCAATTGTTCATGCATTTGTTCTATAACAAATCTTTTTAACATAAAAAAGTCAGCTAATAAATAGGCTTAGGAATGACACAGCTAACAAGAATGACGGCTAACGGTTAGCTGTTTGTTTGTATATGTTATTTCTGTGTGTGTCTTACCCTCGTGGTGTAGGCAGCCTCTGGGTCGTCCTCCAGAACTCGACTCAGGCCGAAGTCGGACACCTTACACACCAGGTTGCTGTTGACCAGGATGTTACGAGCTGCCAGGTCTCTGTGAACGTAGCTCATGTCCGACAGGTACTTCATACCTGAGGCGATGCCACGCAGCATGCCGACCAGCTGGATCACCGTGAACTGCCCGTCATGTTTCTGTAGGGAGAGAAGAGGGGGAGATGAATTAATATGCAGCACAGAGTCTGAATGTTGACATTAAGATGCAACATTAGGGTATTAAGGTCTTCCTCTTCAGCCTCAGCAGGAAGTAAAGGTTTAAACGGGGATAGAAGCATCTTCAATGGCACCAATCTGCTTTTAAAGAGCTATGTGAAAGAACTTTGAATCCTTTACAGCTCTTGTTAACCCGGGGCTTTGACCTCTCTCTGGGGGGTGGCCAGCAGAGGATAAACTTCTCCTCCCTTGGGTCAATTGAGGATCACCCAAATCTCCTACTGGCAGAGGATTGTGTCTGACAGAGCAGACAAAACGTTCCTCTCTAACACTGACGGCGTGGGCAAGTAGAGCTCACTTGGTTTCAGATTTGATCCGTCTTTGGCAGAGAGAAGAGCCTGTTGATCGATGACGGTCCGGCTCACCTTCCTCTGCCAATTATTTCTGCCCTGGGTCAACGGTCCCCGTTAAAAAGCCATCCATGTTATCAGTCACCCTCTCTCCTTTATATAACCTCACCTTCTCGCCGTCCCTTCGTCCTCTCCATTCATCTCTGTCTGTCCTCAGTCTCTGTCTCAGACAGAGAACTCTGTATTACTTTGAATCAGTTCTCATCCATCTTTCTATCTTCCCTCATCTTTCTGCATCTGTGCACCCCTCCTCCCCTACCGCGATTCTTCTTTCTCTCTCACTCCCTCGGCAGCTGTGGAGTAAGTTAATTAGCCGGTGGTTTTGTGAGATGCTGATTGATTGGACTGTCTAACAAACCTACAGACTTCCTCTATCAATCTGCCCACCACGTTGCATTGCCAGGAAGGGGCAGGGCAGGGAGAGAGAGAGGAGACAAATGCAGGGCAGGGGGGTTAGACAAGGAGATAAAGGAGACAGATGAGTAAGGTGATGATAGAAAACGAGACTTTTTGTCAAATTCTTGAACCTTACTTACGTTTTTACCAGAAAACTAAAAGGAGACGCTTACAAAGAGAGATGATAGAAAGGCTACAGCGGGTAGAAACAAGGAAGCTAAGAGAGGAAGAGCTTTTCCAATAGAGCCGTGGTTTTGTTGTTTCCGAGGGACAACTACTTAATAAATGGTCAGCGTAATTAAAGACACATATGGATGCCAGGCGCACGGATGAGTTGTAAAACCCATAAAATCCCATCATTTTATGGAGCCACTGCGGACAGTCTTTATGACCGTTATTACACTACATACTGTAACACACAACACACGTGGGTGTATGTGTGATTTTGTGTGTGCACGTGTTTCAGGCCCTTTTAATATGTCCGATTTCATTTGGTTTTGCTCAGTGTTGCTGATGGGATTGGTGTCTATTTAGCGATGGGCCTATCATCACAGGCTTAATGGCTTTAGAGCTCTGCGGTGATTTTACTGGCCGACAAACAACTCTGAATATGAATCAGGGGGACTTTCAATGTGATGCACACCAGGGCTGCAACGGGCTATTCATCTGTGTATGCAAAATGCAGGGCTCCTCATCAACACGGCTACATTTGCTTCTTCTGCCGCATTATGTCTAAGTAGAGGAGTCATGAATCAAACATTAATCAACATTTACAACATTATTTGATTGTTTTCGGCTTCTGCAATCAACTAGGGATCAATACTTTAGTGAAAGTAATTACATTACATTAATTGAAATACTTCAAAACCTTGTGTCAATTATGAGAAAATACATTAGATTTCCTGTATAGGATGGCTTTAAGAGTAATTTTTTAAAAACATGTTGTGACATATTGAGTGGCAGGCTCCTCTAACTCTTGTCATGATGTCGATTTCAATAACAGTCTTCCTTAGATGTTTAAGTCTGTTCACTGATAAGGGATTCAGCAATAACCTTGGGTAATGTCTGCCTTTAGGACTCAATTTTGTAATACACCAAAATGAATGTATACTTACATTTTATTCAGTTAACCATTGTTGTCTTTTACTGAGACTTCAGCTAAATAAATGTCTCTAGAAATATTTGTGCTGACTATATTTCTGTATTTAGTAATGATGCAGATATCTTTGGAATTACTTTGGCATTGAGAGGTTATTTTCAATGTTTTTTCTCAGTTGCTGTCTTGACTGTTGTGGTATTACATTACACTCTGTATGAGCTGTTCATTTTTGTATCCCCTGACAAAGCGAAATGTTGCTCACAAAGCAATACACTTTTCTTTGCTTTATTGCCTATTTGTCAGCAGTGTGCTGCTTTTCTCGGCCCTGGGATATAGTCACTAAGATCATTTCATAGACCTAGTATCAACCATCGGGTGATAAAATTGCGGGGAGGCAAAACATCCCTCTGACTGTTTCTGTTCCCATCCTTTTCTCTGTCCACACTAAGAGCAAAGTATGTTTACTCAATATACCATACTATCAACACTACCTTCCTGTATGTACTGTTTGATAATAACAGAATTACTGCAAGACAACACTTATTTGATGGATTATTTGTCTACGTACAGTACACTGGTTGTGTTGTCTTTTGATATTGAAAAAGCTGCATGCCAGAAATAATGTTTTATTTCTAACAGTTATGTACTTTTTCCAATTTTCTAAAACTGTTTTTACTCACACTCATAATGTGGTGACAGCGTTTAAAAAGGTGGTCCAAAACGTAGAATGGGTCCTTGTTAACTCAAGCCCTTGGTATAAAACTTTGTGTGTGTTATTGCCAACAAAAAATGAAAGGCAATTTCATTCAGGAAGCTCTTATTATACTTTTTAAAAGAATGTGCCCTCAAGTAAAGCAATCTGGGGTTGTTGGAATTTCAAACATTAGACATTACAGCTGGGACATCATTTTCAGCATGGCCTTTGTTAAGACTTGCAGCCCTAACCTTGAAGGAAATGTGTGCTCCATGTTTCCTCCAGCTGAGCGGTTACTCACCTTGAGGAAAGTGTCCAGAGATCCGTTTTCCATGAACTCCGTTATGATCATCACTGGTTTACCTACGGAGGCAGATAACAAGGCTGTTGTTAGTGGAGCAGAATTACAAGGAACAAAGACAGCCACCATAAAGAGACCAGGACAGAGGAATAGTGGAGTCCACAGCTGTGACCAGCCTCCCTCTCTGACTGTCTCTTGGGGATAACATGGCATGTCGTCATCAGTCACACTGACAGCTTCTAATCAGCCCTCTCCATAAACGCCAGGAGATAATTAGAATGGACCAATCCACCAGAATATGTGTGTGTGTATTAGGGGGCCTCCGGAGATCTCATGAATACTAATCAGCCTCAAGGGGAAAGGGGTTGTGGTGGGATCGCTATGTGCACCTGCACCTGCATGAGTGTGTGTGCGTGTGTGAAGAAGGGGTGGTTGACTGACGGGCCCCGCGCACTATAGTCCCCTGCATTGCATCTGTTGGGGCTTACAAATCATTAACAAAGTACCTTCAATCACATGTACACACACACACACACACACACACACACACACACACACACACACACACACACACACACACACACACACACACACACACACACACACACACACACACACACACACACAACGGCATAACAGCCTCTCCAACGTGTTGTTGAGCCGCCAACATTCATGAACGCTACTCAATTTCTTCCTGAAAGCACATAATTAACTAATCACATTCACATTCATTCGAATTTATAGCCTTTCATCGCCTTTAGAAATAACGCAGCTGTTTGTGGAGCTAAAAACACCGCCCTGTGTGTGAATGTGTGTGCAGATCGGGTATTGATGTTCTGCCAGGTGGAGTGTGTTACGGAAGGATCAGTAAGGAGTTTGCTCTTTTACAGCTCTTTATTAAGTGAAAGACGAACGTGTTGTCTCTGCTTTCCCCAGTTCCTTGAGTGTGCTTGTGAATTGCTTTGTTTGTATCAAAGTGATAGAGATTAAGTATAGACACTAGTACAAGAAGAGCAATTGAACCAAACTTAACACAGCCTTTCTTGCTTGCTTACAACAATAAGTGCAAAGACATTCATAGGAAAATGCAGAAGTATTTATTTAAATGGAAAGTGCAAGTTCTTTTTTTATAGTTCCTTTCAAATATTTGTTATTGTTGTAAAAAAAAAGAAAACTTGTCTCTCACAGCCTATTGGATTTAAATGAGAAAACAGTGCAATCAAACTGCTTTTGTTGCCCTCATCTCATTGACACATATTCAGGAAAAACATGAGAAAACGCATTGGCCAAATGGAGCAACCTACAGAGGATATTTGGTGGCCACAGAGTAACTTTTGTGGCTATCAGGTCATGGTTAGTGTCTAAACCTGACGTTTAAACACTATGTCTGGTTAATTACATTATGAGAGGCGGTTTCTGTGTGTTGGTGTAAGTCTGTATAAATCTGGGTAATTTCATTATGACTTGCAATCTGTATTTGCGCCAGTGGTCCGCATTAAGCTGTTATTGGATGAGACGGCCCAATGTACAAACAAGAAAATGAAATAACTGCCGTATTGATTAATGTTAAGGCTCTGAACTAAGTGATACAATGCTTTTAACACGGGACAGATCTCTTTTCTGGGAAGCGCCATGTGATGGTGCGGGGGGTACATAGAAACAGTGAGATAGAAACTCAATAACCTTATCTCCACTCCTCTCTTCACCTAAATTCCCTCCCCTTCTCTTTCTCATCTCCTCTCATTTCCTCACGTTTGTCTCTTCGCCATCCCTCCTCTTGTCTCTCCGCCCCTCATATCTCTTTGCACATCTTCCCCCGTTGCCCTCATTTGTTTCTCAAGCCCCATCTACTCTCATTTCCTAACTCTTGTGTCCTATCTCATCCCTCCATCACTTCCACCCGTTTTGTACCCGTTGTCACCTTTTCTCTATGTTTCCCTCCCGTTACTCCTCTTCCTCATTTTGTCCCTGCAGTCCAATCTTCAAATCTGCATACTTATTCAAAACATGAATAATTTCAAACACTCTGACAAAAAAGATTGAAACACTTATTGTTCAGTGCACAAAGACTCACAGTTAAAACTAATCACTAGTTTCTTCAAACAGAAGACTGCTGGAAAAGATGGGTGCTTTTGCCAGTTTTAACAGCACCTTTGTAGGAAAGCTTTTTGTGTGTGTGTGTGTGTGTGTGTGTGTGTGTGTGTGTGTGTGTGTGTGCACAATGTGGAAAGATGAGATGAAGCTCGGTAATTGAGGGTTTTCCAAATGAGCCGATTGTTGCAGCGATTGTAAAACACATAAAGGATGGAAGGATAACATGAGGGACAGGGGAGATGAAGGCAAGATAAGTATATGTGGGGGGGAGGTAGGGAAGGGGCAGATTGCAGCACTTTCCTGATGTGTAGAGAGACAGATAGAGAAAAGAAAGATCTATTTTTTCTCTTTTCCCGCATGTGGCGCTCTAATTAGCATGACAATAGCAACAATCAGGTGACAGACAGCAGAGTAGGTTATTAGAGTGGCTCACAGCTCAGGGCTTATGAGGTTTTAAGAGGAGAGAACACACACACAAATGCACATACACACACACACACACACACACACACACACACACACACACACATACAAATGATTGTAAAAGGAACGTGCACAGCCAAGATAGGCACATACCCAATACAAAATATAACTTTGAAATGTCAAATGAGTGCCCCTATAATCATTAGTGCTACCCCAACTGCCACCATCCCTATCCCCTATTAGTAGGTTGTATTTGTGCCAGAACTATTGCACTAGTGGTACTTCTAATATTGTGCTGACAGTGTTACTTACTGTCATTATCAATATCCATTATCAGAGCACCTTCTTTCTACATATATAAAATGCACTTCTTGTGGTGAATAACCTGATGATGATCTCATGCCTGTCGCAGAAATATGATGCTACCGCTAGCAGCTAATTAGCTTTTCTTGGGACTAGAAGTGAGGGGAAACAGCTAGCCAAGCTCTGTCAGATTTTAAAATCCTTCAGCCAGCAACTTTAAAGCTCTTTACATCAGGGTTTTAAACCTTGTAATTTATGGCAACATCACATTCTTCATACCAGTGGCTAATCTCACTTACATGTCACACCTTTTGGCTCAATGGCTAATTCACCCAAGCTATTATCCCTCCAGCTTCATATCAAACAACAGTAATGAGGACAATAAATATATATGTTTTCTGCTGTTATTTCTACAGTATCATTACTACTGCTACTTATATTGTTAAAACTACTACTGCAAAACTGTGACAACAATCACTCTAAGTAGCCTACTACCCAACCAATAGTACCGTATAACTGTTGATTCTACGATTATTTACACCACCACAAACCAATCCAACACACCTGAGCCCAGAGCAGTCAGGGTCAGCCTGCCTGATTAGACTGAGGCTGGTGTGAAGGGACCAGCTGGTGCTGGAGAAAAAGGCCTGAAGGAATTATTGACCCATCTCAACTCTCACCCCCTCACTCTCACATGCGCACCCTGGGCTGTGACCTGTGAAATTACTGCTCCGCTGGTGAGATTTGTTTCTGAGGGGCTCTATCAGCTTCTCAATGTGCCGTGAAGACAGGTGAAAAGAGAGACACAAAGAAAATGTGTGTAAAAGCTAACAGATGCTCGTTACACGCACACACGGCAAAACAACACACATACACAAACATGTTTATGTATTCATAGAGCACAGCAAATGTAACAGCGTCTTATAAGTTATATGTTTCTTTTCAAGCAACACTGTTGTCCTCTGCCAGAACATTTCAAGGATTTGGCGGTATTCTTTTTTTTCTTGAATTTTAAATCAGAATGGATTGTGGCATTGAAAATAAAGTGTTGTAATTACATGTCTGCCTGCCAGAATAAAAATCACAAACTTTCCATAGTACTACTACTACAAACGGCCTCAATCCTGCTAATCGAAGGTCACAGTTAACATCGGGCATTATTTAGAAAATAAGAGAGTTTGAGAGAGAGAGTGACATAGTTAGAGGAAGTGAATAAGAAATGCAGTGGGGTTCTCATTCCTAATATGCATGCTGCTGAATATTCATGAGGCTAAAAAACACTTCCAATTAACTTTATGAATTATTAATATTCATGATAAAAGCCTATGCATATGCATTTGCTCTTTTATTGTTGGCCTAAGTGCCACTGAGCACCGGTGTGTGATGGACCCAAGATGTGTGTGTGTGTTTGTGTCCGTGTATTTCAATGCGTGTAGGCGTGTGACAGAGGGAGGAGAGGGAGTGGGGTGAGGGGGAAAGCGGAGGTTTATTTGTCAGCCTGGATGTTCACAATTCTGTTTCTTTGTGCAGACTATCTCCCTCTTCCGTTTGCTTGTCTGATCTCTAACAAACATCTGCATGACAAGGTGTCAGACCAGAAAAATATGTGCACTCCTGATTTCATGTCATTTATATAAAGATTTCAACACTAAAACTGAACTACGCAGTCCGTACACTGTGATTTAATTCAGACAACTCGCTATTTAGTTATTACCGATCAACATAAATATGAATATTATCTCATCACCATTGTTGATCACCAATTTGACATTAAAACCTGATGATTATAACGTAGAGTCTTACATTATGTGTCAGCACTTTGCTATTGTTGGTCTGTTTTATAAATGATGCAAACCAAGCCACAGAAATAAAGCTTTGCATACTCGGCGGTAAAGCAAGGTCTAGACTTTTCTTCTCAATGTTTTTTGGGCTGGTTCCTATGAATTCTGTCCAGTAGAGACACCATCAGTCTAAATGGTAGGTCATATTGTTCTTTTAGTGTGGTCGTAGAATCAAAACTGAACGACAAAGATGTGATTTCAAATTTAGCCAGCTTAGCGTTGACGTATTCTGGGTTTAAGTGTAGGAGACAAAGAGATAGAGAGATAGAGAGTACCAGAGGGACAAGAGAGAAGTGGGCAGGGATTGAATGAGAAGATTAGATGGACATTGACTGAGAGGTTTGAGACGAGAGAGGGATAGACAGACCGAGTGAGAGCGAGAGTGTGATTGAGAGAGCGAGGCCCAGTGATAACGAATCAGCTATCTTGTTGAACCAGGCCTGTATCTAGCTCACCTACATGAACACACTCGCTCTAATTGCCTAACACAATCATGTGAAGAGAACGAGTGGCAGTTTGAGAGGCGGACAGTCGGTGGCCGCATGCACACCACATGTGTCATCACAGTGTTGCCATGGTAACGGAGCTTTTGTCTGATCCAGGATGAACTTTTATTTGCAAGAGCACTGGCTCTCGCAAAGCAACGTGAAAGACAGACACACACACACACGGACACACACACACACACACACACACACACACACACACACACACACACACACACACACACACACACAGAGACACAAACACACACACACACGGAGACAGGAAGGGGGAATGTATGGTCACTCAACCCAACACATCACTCACATCTTGTGACGACACCCTCCAGCCTGATGATGTTGGGATGGTCAAACTGTCCCATGATGGAGGCCTCAGACAGGAAGTCCCGCCTCTGTTTGTCAGAGTATCCCGCCTTCAGACTCTTGATGGCCACGTAGATCTCCCTCTTTCCCTGAACACGCAGCCGACCACTGCACACCTCCCCAAACTCTCCTACACACACAAATATGAGAGAGAGTAGTCATTAGAATTAAAGTTACATTTTTACTGTCTTTTGAGTTATTAATCCACTACTATTTTACTGCCAACTCACCAGCTCCAATGACTCTCTCTATGCGGATATTGGAAGCATCGATCTCTTTGGCAAAGTCCCTGACAGCCTGGTTGGGGTCTTCGTAGGTGTGAGGATGGATGTAAATCCTGCTGCCTGGCAGCTTGACTGCAGGAGAAGAAAAGAGGAACAATTGGGAGATATTAATAAAAAAGATAAATGCTTAATGTCCTGAAATATAGCCAGCTTTTGCTCAGTGTGTGGTTTTCCATTTGTTTGATAAAGTAAACAGTATCAATAGGGTATTGCCCCTCCAAGGAAATTATTCCTACTCAAACCTATCCACAGATTGAATTCACGTTAAATTGTGAGTTTAAGCGTGGGTGCTCTGTTTGAGTGATAATTGACACACAACTAGGTTGTTGGCAATGGTGTTAAAATGACTCAAAATTTTAACAGGAACCCATAAGGAGCTTCTCTATGCCAGCAAACATTTGTGCAAGAAAGTGTGGAACAACAATCCTCGCATAGACACTAACTGTATGTCATTCTGTAGCTCTGACTGTTCTCATGATACAGCAAAAGGTAAGCAAACAAAGTGTGACTGTTCAACTCAGTCAAACTAAATACAGGCAGTGATGGGATCCATTGTATGTAATGTCTTGTCTTTTATCTGGACCCTGAGTCTGTAATAACGTTTTCATTCATTCATTCATTGCAGGATGGTGTAAAAATGATTTAGTTGTTAAGAAAAGAAAATAAGTTATTAGTGTGTAGGGTGCTTTCATAGCCCACACTTACATTTATAAATAAATGCTTGAGAGAAAAATAATACAAATAAATCAGTTTGAATGCTTCGTCCCATAATGTCACTGAATACACTGCTCAATAACAAAATGAAACATTACAATTTTAACAGCAACAAACATGCCAGCATTTAAGAGTATGTGTCCTTACCTCTACCGTGTTGGAACTGCATCTTCTCTTCATCAGGGTCCTGTTTGGCCTTGATATATCCACAGTGCCTGAAACACAAAATGCACAGCTTGATTATGATCCAGTATATATACACAGTGTACACTCTCCCCCCCCCCACACACACACAGATGCCAATATGTCTGTATAAGACATCTATGAGAGATCCCATGCCCTTGAGTGTGTATGTGCAATCCAACACAGGTACTTGATATATTAAATCTATGATATTTCCAGAAAAATCCTCTGCCACGATGTGCAAAGCCAGAAGCTCTGTATGAACAACTAGATATTTGATTTTGTCTCCACACATCCACTCCTCTTTATCAGACAAGCCTGGAGGAAACAAAGCTCCAAACAGTTTTTCTCTGCCTCTACCTGTCAATGCTATACTCCCCTTAAAGCTCTTATGCCTGAGGTTCTGTGAATGAGTGTGTGTGTTTGTGTGTTTGGTAGTGTGTGTGTGTGTGTGTGTGTGTGTGTGTGTGTGTGTGTGTGTGTGTGTGTGTGTGTGTGTGTGTGTGTGTGTGTGTCATATATGTCCCTATCGAGGCAGATGTATGCTTGAAAGAACCCCTCCCTTTTGCCGCCCATGCACCCCTCTGGCTGTTAACAACTGCCTTCAATAATATCATGCGTCACACACACACAGCTCAATGCCCTTTTTGAACCCCTCTGTGCACACATGCACACCCCCCTGCAGTGAGGACCAGTCAAACGATCAAGAGAAAATATTGACAAATTGATCAATTCAATCCTGCCGTCCAGCTGTGAGGAAGTGTTAAACTAACTCTGTTTTACAGGCCTCAAAGCGTTGATGCTGCTATTGTGTGTGTGTGTGTGTGTGTGTGTGTGTGTGTGTGTGTGTGTGTGTGTGTGTGTGTGTGTGTGTGTGTGTGTGTGTGTGTGTGTGTGTGTGTGTTTTGGTGGTTTTATGTTTGTGCTAGTGAATGTACTTTCCCCTTAGTTGAGCTTCCAACTCTAACATTGTTTAACAGCCCTGATAAGCTATAACGCTGTCTTTGAGATTTACAGTCTTTTACATTTGGCTCAAACATTTTAGGCCAAAAAACATAAAAAGAAAGTTTCAGATAACGAGGTACTAAACACGACATAAATACTACAGCCTCCTACTCGCCCCTCTTTTCCACTCATGCGCAATCCTCTTCAACTGCTGTACAAGTAAAGCAGCAACCAGTCAGTGTGTCTTTCCATCAGGAAGATCAATTGATGTGGGCTAAGAGCCAAGAGAAACTGGGAATCATCCGCACAGACTCTATATGGTTTAAGGAAGCAGAGTGGAGGAGGACAGAGGAGAAAAGCAGATTGACAGTGAAAATGTTGGATAAACACAATACTAAGGTAATCAAAAAGCAGAAAACTGAGTGTGAAACAGTCAAGAGTAATAATAATAGACAGAAATGGAGAAAGGTGGGGTCTCGCTGGGCTCAGTAAATCTCCGTCATTTGGTGTTTAATCCCTGTGTTGATTTTACACAGCTGAATGCATGGTGAAACTCAGACATCAATAGACCATCTTGGGAATATACAGACACACACACACACATAAGGGTAGAGACCGGTTGCCGGTATTTGGGGATAAGGAGGAGGGGGCATAATGATCTTCGGGCCCCACCTGGTTATCAGCTGGGCTCAAGCCAGTCAAACACCAAGGGACTATCATTACCCCCTTGACACGCACACACACACAGGCAGTGCTTAGGGGCATGTGTTTAGAGCATATGGGGAACGGGGACATAGGTCACACCTCTGCTCCAACTGTGATAATCCCGTGGGGGCCGACACACTCTCACACACACACACACACACACACACACACACACACACACACACACACACACACACACACACGTAGTTGAGGGAAACCTAAGTTCAAAACACTTCCAGATCACTGCTTAATGCGAATATGTGCAGGTGTGTCTTCACGGGTGCATGGCGTGTGTGTGTGTGTGTGTGTGTGTGTGTGTGTGTGTGTGTGTGTGTGTGTTTGTGTGTGTCTGATGGGAAATGAATACATTTCCATAGTAATTACAGAGGGACTAATTTCTCCTCTTCAGTTAGAAGTGTCATGAATCATTAGCGCTGCAGTCTTAAACATGGCGCAAACCTGACATGGCTGTGGCTTTTGTTCCCCCCGACAGCTGTGTCTCTATGTGTTGGTAATAGATATTTTATTTAATACCTTCAACAAATTTCATGCAATATTAATCCATTATAGAGTGTAGAACTTGTTTTTGTTCAATATGTTTTCAGAATGGAAGCTGGTAATATGTGGCAGTAGTTGGCCTACAAAAACAATGTAGCATGACAAACAGCAGTCATACTGTATGTTAATCACTCGTACGCATTATTTTTTTTTTTTACAATTAGGCAGGATGCAAATGGTTCCCTTGTTAAGCTTTCAGTCAGAAATTTCCTTTTCGATTAAAGGTCAATTTTCTAGATCAATATCTACCCATTGTTGTTGTTTTTTTATACAACAGCTAATGGCTTTTTTGCTGGCTACAGCAATATTTACCTCCGCCATGGAGGTTATGCTTTTGATTTGATTTGTTTGTCTATTTGCTGAATTCTGGAAAAATATGGCCCATTTAATTATGGAGTGGATCTGAGTCACAGGGTGGATAAAAACATTATTTTCTCGTGTAAAAACACCTTTGTGGATATCTGCTCTTTCCATGTTCCGTTCTAGCTCATCCTCAGCTAGGAGTTCAGCTATCATTCATTTTTTGATATTAGCTGTCCCTACAATATCCATTACTGTTGGATGGAACAATTGATCACGCTGAGTCCACCTTGAAATGCTGTTGACATTAAACCAGAACATGATGTATAGGGGTGTTCCTCCTTCTGCTGGCTGCTGGTATGTGTGATTTGCAGTCCTGGTTCAGGAGCCAATACACAGCGAGAGAATGGACACCAGGAAATGGCCTACACCTGAAAAGCTTTGACCTCAGTACATTTAAGTTTCTTCACAGCTGTAAGCGTTTCTACATTTCCTCCCAGGCCTTCACATGCTTTTGTAGTTTGTATTGAGGTTCTTCGTTTTGTTTGAACACATCAACTCATCCAATCCTGGCGTTCAAGGCTGATGTTTCAGAAGTACATTTTCAGGTGTCTTTGAGCCAAATTTCACACTCCTGTTCATGTGTGGCTCCTGCTTTTTGTCACTTACCAGCTTTGAGTTGGCCTTGTCTGTTTGGATGCTACATATTTTCACTTTACACCACGAGCCTCTTGAGCCGGAACAGATTTAGTGATGAGATAGTCCTCCTCGCATGGCCTCTTGCTGCTTCTTTATGCTGCAGTGTGAAGTTAGCGCTATCTGTCAATGCGGGAGAAAATCATTGTTCCACTTAGCTGCCGTCTAATTACACTATACTCTGCTGTTTCATACAGTCAACACACAACCCTGCACACGACTGTGTAGTCTGCAGTTTTAAAGTACACACCCCTGTGCCAATCACGCGAGAACACGCACTTTAATGGACTGCGATATCACTATCACACCCGGGCTCTCACCTTTCTCTCTGCCTCTTTCTGTTCCACTTCAGTGAGGACAACAGGCTATCCCTGTCCTCCAAAGCCACACATTCTACATTTGCATATCAATTTACTTTTTAATATAATACTCTGTCACTCGAGACCCATTTGTCATTCTGCTAGCAAGCTCCCACCTTCATAGAATTCCATCCATATATTATCGATGCCCCTCCCCCCTTTTCCTCTCCCCTCCTGCCCTTTATCTCTCTAGGGTGTTACATTCTTTCTTAATTCTTCCTTTAAGTTAAACCATTCCCTTTTCCAAAAACCCATTTATCCTCCCCCCAACAGACCCTGTCCTCTGCTTTTTATTTCTTTATGCAGTTTTTTTTTCTTTTGATAGAGAGAGTGGTCACTGGAAAGGGAAATAAAGAGAGAGGGAGAGAGGTGGAGAGGGAGATGGAAAAAAGAGAGTGCTGACAGGCAAGAACGCACAATGGGGGTCCAAGCCTGCATACCAACTAACAAGCAATCAGATGGAGGGGAAGAGCGAGGGGAGATGAGGGAGGCAGCCATCGAGGAATAGAAACACGAAGGTTAACATTAGGGAAGTGCAGAGAAAGAGGGGTGGGGCAGTTTTGTGTGATGCAGGCGCTAAAGATACAAAGACAGATTATGAAAAGAAATATAAATGTAATAAGTTCAAAGAAAGCAATTGTTACAATGCTACATATGCTGGAGGGAAGACTAAGAAACAAGGAGGGATGGAGATGTTATATATTGGCTGTATTGATTGAGGATTAAGAATGAAAGAGCAACTCTATCGGCACAAAGCTCCCCCGTGAGGGAGAGTAAGAGAAAGGAATGAGGGCTGATGGACAGATTTAGAGCAGATGACAACGACAGGAGTCAGTCAGTTAAGTGCAGGTCCGGAGAAAGAGTGAGAGAACAGAAGAATGGACTAAACCTGAAAGGTAAATTGGAGCAAGTTGGGCCAGGGAGATGTAAACGCATTGTAGTATGAAGGTGAGGAAACAGTTCAAATAAAGCTGAAATAAACTTCAAAACCCCATGCCATATTCTTTCATTGTTTTCACCCACTTAGACTCAATAGAAGAAGCCAGATTCTTCAGGTCAGCAGTGTGTCACAAGGCTAACTCCAGATAGACAAACACTCACATTGGAGTCCACTTGACACTGGGAACCAAGCAGGGCACATGAAGGCCATCTCACATAAACACAGGATAAATGCTGAATTCAAAATGTCCTTTTGTCATATAATCATTTTTAGCAGTCCCTTTATCAAGTTTGACTGATTTCCCCTTAGGACATCTTTCTTCATATTGTTATTCTAATTATACACTTCTACCACGCCAACGGTTTAGTATATTTTACACTATATTTGTGTGTTCATGGCGCAAATATAACAGACATTTTGAACCTTGATCCCTAAAGATAGATACAGTTGTCCAAATGCAGGTGGTCCATCCGCCTGAATTAGTCAATCTTTAAGATTATAATGCACTAAAGTGGGCCGCCTCTTTTTC